GGGAACTCTGCAAAAAACGCATCTTCGCACGGGCAGCCCGTGCGTTGGCCAATTTTTCATTTTGCTGACGACATTCCAAGTGTTTGTTCTTTATGTTAGTACTGGGGTCTTGTTGGTCCTATGCTTATCGGTAGCAAATTTTTGGAAAACTAGAGATGAAAAAAAAAAATAATCTGTTTTTTCAGTTTAATAGGCAGAATGAGGACTTCTTTATACTTTTTTGTAAGAAAAATTTTGGGCTAATTATGCCTGACTTTGGTAACATCCCAGCAACATCACTAACATGACAAGCACACATCATATTGTTGGTGATTTTACAGGTCACCATTTGTAATATCCGATAGTCCAGTGCTCCAGAAAAGTGTACGAGAAGCTTTTCGTGATACTTTTCGAGGTCTGTTCCGGCCAGTGCTACCAGTTCAACCACCGCCTGCACCACCCGTAATTCCAGGTTAATTTCTAAACATTCCCAAATTAAAAGCCAAATTCATTTTCTCGCATATTCACTCTCCTTTAAGTGCGGAAGTATTCCAGAAATAGTCTGAACAGCCCGAATACGTGCTAGCGCCAGTAGCAACCATCCACTTGCAAGGCTGTCCAGTGGTCCCTTTCTTGGAAAGAAGCCTATAAGCAAGTTGAGGGGAATTTTTCCTCCCAGACATATGTCAGAATGTTCGTAAGGGGACTGGTTATCGCACGGGCAGAGTCGAGTCTTCGATTCTCTGCACGACTGCAGCACTGCTTGCCACTTTTGCATGTTCACTAGTAGATGCCTGTGTTATGTTAATTTGGTACCTGCTGGGAATTAAAAAGCAAGCTGAGGGAAGTTTTGCCCAGACAAAATCACTGTTAGCCTTTTGACTCGTTTTAGGCCGCTGTTCCTGGCCCTGGTTACTATCCTCTTCCATCCCCTCACAGAGCCTTTGAGGCCGGTACTGCCTTTTACTTTGTTTAAATGCTCACTTAAGCTATTTCTGAGTTGACATTCCTATTTGGAATGATCACTTCTTGGTCGGGCCTCAGGGGCCCCTTCTTTCCTTTCTATTTCTTCGTTCTTTTAAGAAAGGCTGAGTTAAAAACGGAGTTTTGACTTTTGGTTGTTTCAACTATAGGTAACTTTTATGAATCACTTTTTTTTCAGATCCCGGAGAAGTAGTAGGAACAACAGATGTAGAACCGGCGCCAAGCGAAACAAGTGCAGCAGTAACGGAAGATACGCCAACAACAGAACTATCACAAACCGAAGGTGGTGCTGGTGATTCTGTTGATGATGAATACGGACTGTCATGTGAGGAAAAAGTAATGACATTATTGGCAGCAGTTAAGGAAGAATTTCGTGAACCAATCGAGAATTTATCAAATGCAAGAAAGGCGGACACTGATACAAGATGTGAACTGATGCAGAAACTGCTTTCCACCATTTTTGACAATGTAAGTTTACAGATGAAGGATACTTTATCTTGTTCAGCTGGACCATTCCATTTCAGTGGGAGTCTTCTTTTTTTTTGTTTTGCTTGATCCCGATATTTTATTGTGCTTAGTTAATAACTATCTCCCCTCCTAGCAAAGCTCGGACGGAATAATAATGCAAAATATATGCACAAGCACACACAAAAAAGAAATTTAGAAACTGTTAAACAGATTGCAGCATTCAGATTGAATCTGAAAGTGCATATGGCAAGGTGTGAAGGAGTTCAGGAGGAAGTAGTAGTGTAGATTAGAGAAGGTAGGAGCGAGATAAGACGTTTCGATCCAAAAAAGTCATATACGTCTCGTAACTCAACACTGCGACTGAACCTCGTCAGTATGACAGTCGCAGTGTATAAGGAGAAGAAAGAAAAAAGAAGAGAGAAAGAAAGAGGAAGTGAAAGAAAAATGGAAACCGAAAGCGAGGACAAACAGCGATTGTGACATTATGAAATACATAGAAGGAGGGAAAAGGTTGGTTAAGAACGGGGAAGAGAGATGAAAGTAGAAACAGTAGGATTTAATAACACTAGGACCTTATCATATGCTTCTTTTGGGTTAGTGTTAAAACTGGTGTTTGCTTCATACAGCCCAACTGATGTCAGGATCATCAGGGGACTGATCTCGAGGCAATGCAGCAATATTACTGAAACGAAAAATTTCAGGATGAATTAATGGATGAAGAACAAGTTGAGTTATTGACCGAA